CGGGGCTGCCACGTAAGCAGGAGCGTAGGAGTTGGGCGGTGTTGGGTAAGCTGCCGATCGATACAAAAATCAAACATATAAACGTTAATCATTTATCTCAAGTTTTATGCGAATTAATTAATTACCGGCTACATATATCTAATAATAAGATCGCTACTCACCAGCGGAGGCTGCCTGTTCTTGTTGCTGATTGCAGGAACTCATTTTGCGCTGAAAATTTGAGCGGTGAAACTTAGAGAGAATTAATGAATACAGAGATAATTAATTGGTTGAAGTGTTGCTGATGTGAGCTATTTATATAGAAATGATGGAAAGAGTTTCCTTAATCCGGGAGACTTCAATTTTTATTATTATTTATTATAAATTAAGAACGCGTTGCTTTGTGAAACAAAGAGGTTGCGGGTCAAAGAGAACTTGGTAGCATCCAAGAAGCCGTAAGAGGTTACGAGAAGAGAGCAGGTGGGCTTTCAAACAAAATTGGGGAACCCCAATTGATTGAGAGGAGCAGGTGGGTGGGTTTCTTTATGATTTCGCTTGGGACGTGGGAGCAGGGCGAACGAAGTTTCCTCTGCTGATCATTAGAGTTGTTTTATGAAGCTAATTAGGAGCTAGCTTCGGAGTCTGTATATGGATCATGATTAAGAGAATGATGTGGTAGTCCAATGGGATATCTACACGGCTCTGCTGGCGTATGCATACAATACACCTGCAAGCGCGGCTGAATCCTGTTTGTCAACGGATTCGGAAAAATGACACGTATGAGACATTTGGTGGCTAATTGAGTTGGTGGGCAGTGCAAGTGCGCAACAAATTTAATAGGTGATTTTTCTCAATTAAAAAAAAAAAAACTAACTTTGAAATGGAGGTGGAAGTATAAAATAAAAATTATCTTTAAGGTTCAACAAACGCCAGGGACCACCTGTAAATAGTGTTCCGCTCGTAATCAATTGTCTGGACTCGTTTTCTTATTAAATTTTGATTTTAAATTTCTAAAATTCTCTCGAAAAATGCATTGAAAAATATGTTGATTTTGGTTAAGGGGCTGTTTGGTTCGTTTTTTAACTCGGTTTTTTTTCTTATCTTTGGTTCGCTAGGGTTGAAGAAGGGAAACTCGGTGAAAATCGCCGCCACATCAGATTTTTTTTCTCTCCCCCAATTCCTTCATCAACCTCGTGAAATCGACGAAAACTGCAGCCACGTCAGCTTTTTGCCATATAAACAAAAATTTTTTCTTTTTTTCCATGCGAACCAAACACGAAAAATAAATACATTGATTTCCCACCATTTTTTTATGCGAACCAAAGCGAAATAATCTATTTCTTGGAAAAGTTTGAAAAACTCAAAACTTATGTTTTTGTACATGGAAATGCATTTCCCTATATCTATTTCTTGGAAAAGTTTGAAAAACTCAAAACTTATGTTTTTGTACATGGAAATGCATTTCCCTATATCTAGGAAACGAACCAAACAGGAAAAACTCAAAACTTATGTTTTTGTACATGGAAATGCATTTCCCTATATCTAGGAAACGAACCAAACAGCCCCCGAGAAGACAAGTCACATGATTGTCATATGATTGTTACGCAATTTAATAAGCATGAAATGACGTATCCAAAGTAAGATGAGTGCACTTTTCTACACCATGGGCCCTAGTGTGTAAAGAAAAGCCCAGTAAACTAGGGTTACGTGCAAATTGAAATGATGTCTACGGAGTAAGATCCATGGACTTTTCTTCTGATATTGTGTTGTTCAAATTTGCGTGGAAGACGTCTTTAAGGCTACGAAATATAAATCACAAGCAAGATTACCTATTTTATTAATTCATTTATGAGTATAGTACGGCACTGAAAAAATTGATGAACTTAAATAGAAAGTTAAGGTCGATATCTAATCTTTAAACTTCTCGAGTTAGCCTAATCAATTTTTATTTAAAGCCCATTTTCTTTCCATGCAAATTATTAAACATTACTCAAATCGCAGCCCATGCGATTTCCAACACTAAGAATTTATTAGGTTTTCGTAGCTCAGGATTCTCTGAGCCCAATCTCAAAATAACTCTTGTACCTGCCAATAAGCGGGGTTCCTAGATGAATATTACGTTGGGCCTAAATAAGGATACATCAGAAATAGATAGCCCAACTCTTAATACAATGCTGTCGAAATCTTGTTCTAATAACCCAAATTTGGACTGCGTCGATAGCGGTGCCCACCAAAACGTGCCCATCCATTAAACAGAGGAAACCTTGTCAGTATCCATTTCCATCGCCATAAAAGCAAAAAAAAAAGGCCACCAGTCAAGGGGTTGGGTTTGGTTTTATGTGGGGCAAATTGAACACTCTGACACCGTATTTTTATTTTGGGTTTTCTTTGCGATAGTAAACCCAAATAAAATAAGAAAAATTCTTCAAAGACCCAAAATATGGGATCAATAGGAGGACAAATAGATTGTCTCCCTCCTATTGGATAATGAGTTGGTCATCATTAATGATGACCAATTCATTATCCAATAAAAAAATAACACCTCATTTGTCCCGTCCCATATTTTGGTTCACTATAGCAAAGTTCGTAAAATACTCGTAAAATAAAGGGAGGAACAAAGTTGGGTTCTCTGTGTTGGGTTCTGCTCCTCGCTTTCTCTCACTACCTGTTGCCCCAAGTAATCATAGATTGAAAAGGAGATAGAGATTCTTCTGGAAATGAATTTTATTGGGCAAGCTCAAAAGAGGTGGAGTAAACTCGTCTTTGATCTGATAATTCTTCAATTTAGTTTCGAAGGGTATATATGATCATGTTCATTCTAAGCTCAGGGATCAAGATCAACCCTTATTTCGGCCTTACGTCTTACGAAAATTAATGCCTGCTTGATCAAAAAACTTTTGATGGGTTGATCCTTATTTATGTTTTATGCTTTGCCCTTTTGTTGCTTACTGATTTTGTTACGTTTAGCTACACAAAGTTTGAATCTTTTCTTAATTCGAGGATTCAGCGTATTTGACTTTAAAAGTCTGATCTTTCTTACTTGATCGCGTTCTGGGTATTGTTGGGTTTCTCATGTGCGCGGTTATTGATCCCTTTTTTTTTTTTTTTTTTTTTTGTGTTTTAATCAGAAACCTTGTTGATTGTGATTATAAGTTGATAGAGTGAAAGTTGAAAGTTCTGAAATTCCTGGAAATTCTGGCCGAGTTCAGTGAAGAGAAGATGTCTAGTGGAGAAGTGAGAAAGGTGTCTCGGCAAGATATACAGCTTGTATGGAATAACTTTTATACTTGATGATATTTATTTTTAGTGATAATTTTTTACGATATCTGTTAGTATCTTTTCTTTGTGTAGTATATGTCTTGCATGTTGGTTACTTGGGCAATTTCTTCCTGTTTGATGAACCAATATGTGCTATGAAAATTCATTTCTTTTCAGTCTGGTGTTTAAAGTGAAAGGGGGAAAAAAAGAAAAAAGGAAGAAAGAAAGAATCTCTGACTGCTTGTTGATACTTTTAACTTCATAAGCATTTTGTATTCCATCTGGGTGCTTATATTTGCAACAATGACAATTTTCTTACATGGCGATTGTAGTAGAAATGGTACTTTCCTCTCAATGGTGGTTTACATGTAAGATAAGTTGTATTTTATCTGCTAGATTCAGATGAAAGTATGACTAAGAGTCATGATGCTCCAGTTATTACAAGTTATATGGCCATTTTCCAGTCTTAATCTACTTAAAACATCTTGTGATATTAAATTTTTCTTCATTTGATTTGGATTTATATATTTCAAGTCTAAAATTGCTCTTTAGATGATTTGACCAGATCCCTCTCGCACCTTCCGTGAAACTGACAAATCTTTTCAATGTCCATCAACGAAAACTTTGTTGGATGTAAGCTGGAGAAGATGGACTTATTAATTCAGAGGCTCAGCCCATGCTCTATATTAACCGGCTCTGGCTCTCTAGTCACATCAGGCATTCTAGTGAATTTTTATAAAAGCCTTCTTGAATGTTAAAGAGAGAACATAGAACCAGCAGTAAAATGTAAAACTTATTTTTCCATTGAATCTCATGTGAATTACAGAAATTGACCATGCATTCCCCATAGAGAATATTTAATGAGTCTTAGAGGCGTCATGTTTATCTGCCCAATCTATGAAAGAGCACATCTCCGAAGTAGGGGATACAGACAGTACTGGACAAGTGTGTCGTCGGGGTTATCTTGTTTGCTTCATCCTTACGAACCGCAACCTAGTGTGTACTTATCGATTCATTGTGGTTTCTGGTCTGGATTTCTAAAATTGTCAGTAGTGAACATTTTTTTTCCAATATGGCACTGGTAATGATGCAAACATGATTATTGTGATAAAGATTCAATCAAGAGGTTTTCTATCACATGTGACACCAGTATTCCTACCCATGTAGTTATGTAAAATAAGCAACACATAACATACAGTCTTTCTTGTTTTCTCTTGAAAATTTTCTCATGCCTTTTATTTCAGGTTCAAAATCTTATAGAACGCTGTCTTCAGTTGTACATGAACCAGAAAGAAGTAGTTGATACTCTCTTGTATCAGGCAAAAATTGAACCTGGCTTTACTGAACTAGGTACTTTTTCTTCCAACCCTCTTTGTGAGACTGGAGTTTTGTATGTGGCTTGTATTGTCATTAGGACATGATAACTAGATTTATTGGAATGAATATTCACGGATTTACTTTAGATTAATTTGCTTGCATCAACTGTATGCATGATGAACATGAACAATGGCCTAGTAGACAGGTAGTTTCCAGTTGGCATTAGCAATCTCCTTTTTTTTGTGGGATTGGGAACTGATAAACTTAAAGGAGTGTGGCATTTATGAGCATTAAGATCACTGATCATATGTTCTAAATGTTTATAATCATGTAAGTTTTGGATTTAGTAACTCCTAGATGTAGCCCAAAATAATTCATACTATAGCCTTCCATTTTGTGGCTGCTTCATGCACAGAAAAATCACTCTTTTTGTTGGGCATTCCATTTAGCATGATGTACAGTAATAGTATGGATGTTCCTCTTAAATTGCAAAAGATTAAAATTCAAAGGACATAAGGCAGCATGCAATCATCAGCATTTTTTTTAAAACTAAGAAGAGTATTTGAATCGAGATTAAGTTCCTTTACAATGGCCTAATTTTCCATTTTTGTGTTTAATTCAGTCTGGCAGAAACTTGAAGAAGAGAATCGAGAATTCTTCAAGGCCTACCATGTTAGACTTCTGCTTAAGAATCAAATACTTGTTTTCAATAAGCTCCTGGAGAAGCAGGTTGAGCTCATGCAAAAAGTCTGCCCCCCTGGAGTTTCTTCTGTACCACTTTCAAATGGTTCTAGTTCTTCTTCATGTATGACTTTTTTCTCATTTTTTTGGTCATAATCTCTTATATCGCAAACTTGATCCTTTTTTGTTGTTCCTTGAGAGTTGAGAGTAAATCATTTTACTTTCTTGCAGTCTGGTTGCAGTTTTTATTTTATTCTTTTGTTTGAAGGATATACTAGATGATAATCTAGGTTGCAATTAGTTCCCATGCTATAATTGTCATGATACTAGCTACTTTGGATAACATTTAGATATCTTGTAGTCACTGGCGTAGCCAGTGTCCCCTAATGTGTTCCACATGCACCAAGTCTGTATCGCTTGCTGTTGAATTGCTTCTCTCTATGATGAGGATGACGGTTCTAATAGAATTTTGTGGCTTTGTCCAAAGGTGAGTGGTTTATAAAGGCTAAAGTAAGGGCATTTGCGTAAATAACACAAGATGCTTGTAATCTATTAGGTCTCGAAGTCACTGGGAAGTGGGACCTATCCCATTTTCAGGCCCAATGTGATAAAACCTAGCATCACACTTATATAAGAACATATAACCTTTGATGTTAAAAAAAACTATGTTGTTGCAATTTTTATGTTCTTTGCTTTCCGAAGGAAAGATAAAATAATGGCAATTAATTGTTTGGTTGAGAGCAAATAGAACTGCATAATTAAATATTTGGTTTAAATTTATGTTTTGCATGTTTGGACATAAAGAAAAATAAATTGACATTTTGTATAAAATTCTGAATAGTTCTATAGAGAATTTAGTTGGAAGAAAAACTATAGATTCAATAAGAAAATTAAAAAATAAAAGAAAAATGTCATCTGAAAAAAGTTTTACAATTTTATGTAGAGAAAATCATTTCCAACTATTATAAATCATATAACTTTGGCATCAATTGTGTTTCATTTAAATGCTAAATTTGTAATAAAATTATGTTAGTTCACGAAAAATTAGAAATAAAGAAATAACGAATTTGAAGTAGATTTCCATGCAATATCTTGCAATTTTTGCTACATTCAAATGTGATTATTAATATAATTTTATAGTATGTTCTTAAAGTAGGAACAAGAGTGCCCCCGCAAGCTTCAATTCCTGGCTCCGCCACTGCTTGAAGTCTAGATTAAACTCTTAATTTGATTAAGTCCTGTATGGTGTGATCTTATTGTGGTCATTTTGATTCATTGTGAACATTTCTGAGATTTTTCTTAAAATCATTCTATAATCATTATTGTCAAGTCTTTCCATCAAAGTTGATTTTAATGCCTTTTTCTTGGTTGTTTCTGATCCTAGCTTTGCGTGTTTGTTCTACTGCTCAAATGCAATTGTATGACACAACAAACACCCTGTGATACTTTTAGACAATTTTTTTTTGAATGAATTTATGATACCATATCACTTTTTACAGTACAGCAGACTCCATCATGTTATTTATCTGATCATGCATCTACATCGTCAAGACCTGACAACATGTACTGCAATGGAGGAGGATCTTCGAGTGCAATGACTAATGGTGCATCCTCTGGACATCAAAACATGCAACTTGGTAATAATGCCTCCATTCTTGCTCAGAGGATGGACATTTCACCAAGCTTGTTATCAACTCAGAACTCACACATTGGAAGGACTAATGGGATTAATGGAGCGGCAATAAAATCAGAGCCTAGCTATTCGAACAACTCTGAGTTCACTTTCTGTGCTGAGAACAATTTCTTAGAAACTCGTCCTCCTCTTGGAGTTGAACCCGGTGCCTCCTTCAGCAGTTCCGATTTAAATGGGCAACAACTGAGTGAGGCACTTCTGGATATGGATTCATCCTCATTTGGATTTTTAAGCCAGATTCCCCGAAATTTCAGCTTCTCGGATTTAACAGATGACTTCACGCAGAGTTCTGGTGTGTCCCTCTCTCTTGAAAATATAATGTCCATCTATCAGCATGTTGATAATTTAAAATATTTTTCATGTTTTTTGTTTAGATATTTTAGAGAATTATGGTAGATCTCCTTTCCTTGGAACGGAGGGGAACTTTTCAGATTCTCCTGGAAGGGACTGTAAAGGTGTGAGTTTGAATCTGTTTTTTTAGGACAAAATGATCATTTCCCCTTAAAAGTATTGGTGAACTCTCAAGTTGTTCCTTATTAAATTAAGTCACTCTAACCGTTAGACTGAAACTCCAAAGTTATAGTAAAGATCAATGATTATAGTTTTATATTAATTCTAACATGCCCTCGCAGGTTGAGTGCCCTTGTTATGAGCGGAAAACCTGGACTCATGTAGCGGTAACAATTTTATTAAAATCCGCATTAAATTCGTGGCGAGCAAGATTCGAACCCGGGTTGCTCTGCTACCGTCTTAAATTAAGTCACTCTAACAATTACACCAAAACTCCGAAGGTTTGGTGAGGGTGAAGGATTATATTTTTATATTAATTCTTACACTCCTTAAAGTATCAGTTTACTTATTTTACTTAGCAAACTATGTTTATGGCTTCAACGTGATTATTTTGTGAGTCTACAGTCAAATATTTAATAGAATAAAGATGTAAGAATTTTTTTTTGTATTTCTTTATGAGTTTTTATTAGTTTATCTCCTTTTTCCCCCAAACTAAAATTATTTTAACTACTTTCTCCCAATACCTTTTACCCTCTTAACCCTTTTTATGAATTAAAAACTCATTTTTTAGATTGCAAAATATACAAGAAATAAAAAAAGACACTATCACATCATTACTCTATTAAATATTTGACTGTATGCTCACAAAATAATCACATTGGACACATAAACATAGTTTAAGGGGGAAAATATGCAAACTTATACTTTAGGGTGCAACTTGAGAATTCATCAATATTTTAAGGGGGAAATGATCATTTTATCCTACACACACACACACATAGTGTCACATTATTTTCCGTTGCTAATCTACTTTCTTGCTTATTGTAGATGAAGAGAGGAGGTTGGACACCATCTCGGAGGGCATAAGCTATGATGATTTCGGGAGTGACTGATCAGAAATCTGAAGTTATACTGCTTTCAAGGTAACCTTTTGGCAAACTTGAAATACTGAGTAGGAAAGGACCTGCAGTATCTGAATTGTTTACTATCTGATAAGTCATTGGTTATCAGGCCTACGTTCGCTTGCATTATATTTTCCTTGCTAGTTTATGGGTCTAAGGTTGGTTAATTTGTTATCTTTAAGAGGCAAGATGCCAATATAAACCTCAGGAACCCCCTTACTACAGTGAGGTAATTTTACTCTTGCCTGTCATTCATTGCCTTGAGGTTCAACTGTTAATAATGTTTCACTGACTATATTTTTGACTCAAAGAATTTTAAATTCCTGAGGGACTTTATAGTATGTGAAATATTTATTCATATTATCGTGGACTGAGTTAGATGACAAAGGTCATGGCCTTCACTTACAAAAGAAAAAATGAAAAAGAAAAAGGGGGAAAAACAATTAAACGAACACAAGTATGTCATCAGGTTATCAGCTAAGCCCCTAATTCTTGGTTGCACATAAAATTTGGTCTTAATGCTTGCAAACTCGGCTTTCCTCTTTTGCTATTGAATAAAAAAACCTTGATCATGCCCTAAGATCCAATCGATCCATTTTCTGAATGGAGTAGTCCCAACTTATATGTTAATTTCAATGTCTCATCCACATGAAGAGGCTGTGTTTGTTAAGGATCACAGGAGCTGGATTATGAACTCCTAAGATTCTTTTGAGGTTGACCAATTAGACAAACATTATAAGGCATGCTATTAAATGCCCCTTAAAGCAGAATGGTGGTTTATACTTCAAGTTGTAAAGAAATAATACTATCCGTTGCCGTGGCTTGTTTACCTTCCAGTCATAATATACACCATTACCTTTAAGCATACACAGAAGGTTTTTAAGTAAAAGTTGGAAGGTTGGACAATCCTGATGGTTATTTACTATATTTGGTGAACCAATTGGTCAATTACACTAAATTTGTTACATAAACAAGTTGAGGAAATGGCTAGCAGATGTTTTTACATAGGGTAATTTGCATATATACCCCTTAAATCATGGGTATTCGCAAAAAATACCCCAAATCTTAGTATTACCCCAAATCTTAGTATTTACAAAACTACCCCTCAAATCATCAACTTCGTGAAAAAATACCCCTAAAATCAACGTATCATCAAATTGGTGCTAAAATTTTGACTATTTTGTTGATAATTTTTTACATTGCTATTGCAAATTAGCTTATCGACGTTGATCATCAATTGATTTGAGGGTAATTTTTTCCAAAATTGATGATTCGAGGGGTAGTTTTGCAAATACTGAGGGTATTTTTGCATGTAATTATTTTAGGGGGTATATATGCATATATAACCCTTAAGAGAGAATAGGGATCCTCTCAGAATCGCCTGCATGCGAGTGGGTAATTCTGAGCTGCAAATTGGGAGGGACAATTATAGAGCTGCCCACATATTTTTCCCATTTGCTGCCAAGAACCGCCCACTTGCATGCTTGCGGTTCTGTGCAAATCCAAACTCCTTATAAGGGGAGACTAGTTGTATGCATTTTGGTTCGTGGTCCTTGTCTGTTTACAAGTCCTCAAAACTTTACCACTGTATCTCTAATTTGATCATCTAGATGCGCACTTTATAGGAATCTTTATCAGTTCTTGACTTTCTTTTCCTTTTATAAAGTTAATTGTGAACCAGTTTTGAGGATCTATTGTTTTTCTGACTTGTTTGTTTATTCCTCAGGTTTATAAGATAACAGAATTAGCTTTTGTACATAATTGGATGAGCCGCTGGTTTGAAGATTGTCAACAAGTTAAGCATTATAGTCGCTTGTTGTGTGTGTGTATTTCTAATTGATGTTAATGCTCAATTTGATACGGGTCTGTTTGTGATAAATAGTGGCCTCCAGAATTAAGCCAATGTTTTAACTAAGCTCTGGGTTTGACTCGTCTTGATTTGTTGTTGGTGGTGCATGACACTGTAGTGTGAGTTCTGCATATGGATTCTATGTGGTGTTGCCGCTGGTTGTGTTGTGTAGAGAGTATATTATCATGTGTAATATAGTATTTTTTTATTTATCATGCAGCAGTAAATCTTAAATTTATTCCATGAAATTTGACCTTTCCATCAAACTGGATTAGTACAAATTGTCAAGCTTGATGAGATATAAGAAATCAGAGTATTGCGTCATCAGGCGGACAAATTTTCAAAACCAACCTATTTTAGCATTTAATAGGAAAAAAAGACTCGTTTCAGTTTTATTTAGAGAAACCGACCTGGTTTTAGCACTGTCGCTGAAACCAGGTCGGTTTTTCTAAAAAACTTTTCGAAACTACACGGGAGTTCAACTCCCGTGAAGTTTAGTACGTTTTTAAACTTCACGGGAGTTCAACTCCCGTGAAATTTAAAACCCTCATTAAACTCCACGGGAGTTCAACTCCCGTGGAGTTGCAGGGTAAACTCCAGCGAGTAACTCGTTGGGAAATCTGGCCTGCAGCTTCACGGGAGTTGAAATCCCGTGAAGCTGCGGGCTATATATACGCAGCGACATAACCCCCCTCCCTCAGTTCTCTCTCCCCACAACCGCCCCCAAACCCTAACCTCTCTCCGCCGCCGTCCACGACGTTTCCGACCCCAGCCCCCCAAATCCGACCGTCGGCCATTGTTTCCGACCGCCAGCACTCCTTTCCGACTGTTTGCCCTTGATTCCGACCGTCGGAACAGTGAACTTCGCCGGATTTCGACAATTTGAGGGTAAATTCCTCCCAAAATTTGATTGTCTCTTAATTTCTTGTAATTTCTCGCTATTTAATGGTGATTATATGTTAAAAATTATATTTTAGAATTTAATTGTGAAATTTTTATGATTTATGTGAAGAAAACTTAAATAATTTTGTCGATTTAGAGGGTAAATTAGAAAATAATGTAAAAAATAGTGTTACTACATATGTATGACATCTAATTAATTTTAAAAAAATTGTGTTATCAATAATTTTGTCGATTTTAGAATTTCATTATGAATAAGTTATGAAATTAGTGCTATATGACATCAATTAAAAAATCTAAAAATTAGTGCTATATGACATCAATTAGATTTGAGAATTTAATTGTGAATTTTATGAATTATGTGAAGAAAACTTAAATTATTTTGTCGAGTTAGAGGGTAAATTATCAATAATGTAAAAAATAGTGTTGGTACATATGTATGACATCGGTATATGAATCAGTATATGAATTTGTAAAAAATTATGGTTCCCTAAAATTGATATAGGATTTAATTTTAAGTAACAATAAATTTTTAAAGTCTTTTCGTGTAATATTGATCTTGAATGTTTTACTCTTCAGAGGTAATGATGAACGATCGAATCGTAATTTTGTGTTCGTATGATGGGAAGATTAAATACCTCGAAAATAATATGCCCGTTTATGAAGGAGGTACGACGAGACCATTGTTTATAACAAAATCGTGTACTTTCGATGAGTTGGTTAATGAATTGCACAAACTTACATTAACCAACTCACGTGAGTATCACCTTAATGTTATTTGCAATTATCCTGTCGTGGAGAACAGGACAAGCGGCATTCAAATATCAAGTGACTACGATATGAGTCTAATTGGAGTCTTACATGACGAGAAGCGTTCGATTGAATTGTTCATTGAAAAACATCAAAGGAATTTGGGCAAATCGTTGAATTATGATGGAATGTATTCCCGCATGTTGGAAGACCCTGATGTTGATTCCGTTGGTTTTTTATCTCCTCAACAAGATGAAGGTTGGACACAATCACAATATATGAGCGGTCCTTCGCTTGTGGGCACTTCGAATGCGGTCGATACTAACACGGGAGTTCAAGAAGATAATGCAAGTGTTGAATCTGAGAATGATGATGAAGAGGAGGGCTTACAAATTGATAGCATGACCTTGATAGATCGTGATGAAGGGGACAACCACCACATTGACGGGTGTTATGCTAATAATGAGTATGTTGTCTTAGAGGATCCGCCGCCCGATGAACTTCAAGGAGAAGAATGGATCGATAACTCCGTGATGGAAAGTGTTCCTATTGGCACTAATAGCGGTCATGATACACAGGGCGAGGACTTCTCATTCGTGAAGGGAGATCTATATAAGAGCAAGGAGAAATTGATCTATGCGCTTCGCTCGTACGCCATTGCAAAAAATGTCAAGTTTAGGCCAACAAAAAATAATACTACAAGCTATAATGCGGTTTGTTTCTATCGCAAAGATGGCGATGATGAAGATATTGGTGGACACCACGACGGCAATGCGAAATGTCCGTGGAAGCTTAATTCACGCTCCGGTGTAAGAGTAGGCGGGCAATTCAAAATCACGGCATACAACGGACTCCACACTTGTAGCAATCCTCGATTAGAGATGAATAACAAGAATGCATCCTCTTCCTTCATATATCGATTGATTTTACCGCATCTGAGGGAGGATTTTGATCTAAGGCCGAAAGATATTCGTCTTCTAGTGCAAAAAGCCACCAACTTGGATGTATCATATCACAAGTGTTGGAATGCTAGGAGGAAGGCGATGATAAAAATATTCGGTGATTGGGATAAATCGTATGAGATCTTACCTCATTATCTTGAAGCACTCAAAAGAGAAAATCCAGGAACTGTCTACGAAGTATCTTCGGACCCCGTTGATGGCGGAGATCGGCGGTTCACCGGTGTATTTTGGGCATTTGGGCCATGTATTGAGGGGTTTCGATATTGTCGTCCTCTTCTTAGCATTGATGGCACCCACTTATACGGCAAGTACAAAGGAGTTTTGCTTGTTGCCACCGGAGTTGATGCGGATGGCGGTTTGTTTCCTTTGGCGTTTGCAGTGGTTGATATTGAAAACACAGAGAATTGGGCGTGGTTTTTTGCATGCATTAGATATCATATCCCTAGTGTGGGTACGCGGTCGATTACATTCATATCTGATAGGATGAAAGGAATTCCAAGAGCACTCCAACGTCATTTCCCAGAGCCACATGCACATCGTTATTGCTTGCGACATATTAGGGACAACTTCAAGAAGAAATTTGGAAACGGTCAGGTTCAAGATCTTCTTTGGCAAGCCGGATGTGCAACAGAAAAATTAGTTTATGACCAAATACGAGAGAGGATTAAGTTTATCTCCCGAGCTGCACATGATTGGATCGAAACTAGTTTGGGACCACACAATGTTGATAAGTGGGCTTTATGTGAAGATGGCGGGAGACGGTTCTGTATGATGACTACGAACGCTTCAGAGAGTTTCAATGGCGTGCTCAAGGGAACTTCGCATGCTGATGGAGCCGGCACTTCGCATGCTGATGGAGCCGGAACTTCACATGCTGATGAAGCCGGCACTTCACATGCTGATGAAGCCGGCACTTCACATGCTGATGGAGCCGGCACTTCGCAGCCTCACACACAGCCGGATACTCAGATAGTCGAGGTTCATCAGCGCGGGGGGCGGGGAAGAGCGAGGGGGAGGGGGAAGAGAGGGAGAGGAAGGAGAGGAGCTATATTGGGTTGTACTTGAACTTATTATGTTAAAATTTGTAAATTGTATGAATTTTCAAATACTATACTTTTATGGATCAATTATAGCTCGATATGTGATCTTTTTGCGTATTGTTTGATTCGTGCGTGTTTAAATAATATATATATTGCAGTAATTATTGTCAACAGATAAATAGTTGTATATATGAGTTAAATAGGTAGATGTATGCATGTTGTGCATGTTTTATGTAAAACTTGCAACTTCACGGGAGTTGAACTCCCGTGAAGTTGCAGTGCAAATTTCCCAGAGAGCGATTCTCTGGGAAATTTGGCCTGTAACTCCACGGGAGTTAACTCCCGTGGAGTTTTAACAATAGAACAAACTCCACGGGAGTTGAACTCCCGTGGAGTTTAATGAGGGTTTTAAATTTCACGGGAGTTGAACTCCCGTGAAGTTTAAAAACGTACTAAACTTCACGGGAGTTGAACTCCCGTGTAGTTTCGGAAAGTTTTTTAGAAAAACCGACCTGGTTTCAGCGACAGTGCTGAAACCAGGTCGGTTTCTCTAAATAAAACTGAAACGGGTCTTTTTTTCCTATTAAATGCTGAAATAGGTTGGTTTTGAAAATTTGTCCGTCATCAGGCACGTCACCATGTTTCTTCCTTTTTCTTGGCTGGCACTTTTGATCATATTCAGTAGTTTTTATATGCAGCACAGAGCTTTTGATATGCAGTACGTACTACATACAGAGCATAGATCTCTTGTACAGGCTCAGTGATGCACCAGATGACATATCATCCCTCGCTACAAGAACCCCAAATTTTTTCAGTTTCTAGAAGTAACAAGTTTCCCTTAACTATCTCGATAAAACAAGTAAATTGCAATTGACCGTGTCATGCTTCTAGAAGTAACAAGTTTCCCTTAACTATCTCGATAAAACAAGTAAATTGCAATTGACCGTGTCATGCTTTGCTTACGTGAAGAAAATCTGCAACAATCAATGGCTGATTTTTAAGAGTATGATCATAAACGGATATTTACATANAAAAATTGTGCCTGCCATAATCCTACGAAGAAATGCAATCCAGAGAGAGAGAGAGAGAGAGAGATGTATGCTTGGTATTAAGCACAAGTTTTTGTGCTTAATAGTAAGGTGACATATTCCCCTCCACTCATTAAAATCGGAGCCCACATTCACATGGGTTGGGAATTGAAATGAATGAATGAGAATATGACAAATCATTACCAAGCACAAAATTTGTGCTTGGTACCAAGCATACACATTTTTTCTCATATATATATATATATATATATATATATATATATGAGAAAAAATGTGTATGCTTGGTACCAAGCACAAATTTTGTGCTTGGTAATGATTTGTCATATTCTCATTCATTCATTTCAATTCCCAACCCATGTGAATGTGGGCTCCGATTTTAATGAGTGGAGGGGAATATGTCACCTTACTATTAAGCACAAAAACTTGTGCTTAATACCAAGCATACATCTCTCTCTCTCTCTTATATATATATATATATATATATCATGTTTAATGTTTTTTAGATAGGCTTGTAATGCCAATTAAAAGAGAGATGCACGAACACATAAAAATGCAATGTGAATATAGAGAAAGATATCACCTTACCAGTCGAAACAGTTGACTCAACAAAGGATGAATGAAGTGTGAAAGGACATTCCTATCATGAAAGCTACCTCAGCAGGCCTTTACAAGATTTAAGGTTGAGGGGAAAAAAAAGTATTTTGGAATACACCAGAAATTTACATCTTTACGGTCAGATGAGTGTTTATGTTAATGAATTAATAAGTATCCAATCAACATCTGGCTCCTAAATTGGAGTTTGTAGGAGTTTGTTGAATGACAAAATGGTCTACAATCCTAACAGAGGTGGTGGGATCTGGACCAGAAGCTGCTTTCCATTTGCTTGGAAATCTGCTGAGATGGCTCATCTCCTGAGTCTGCTTTGATTCAGCATCCCATTCTGGATCCAACTTCCATTCCTTTGGAACCTACATCGTCACAAGTATGTTAATAAGTTGAAAGTGATACAAAAAGTAAATATTAGTTATTCGGGGAAAATAAAAAGGGAATTAATTTGTGAGTAAAACCTACAGAAAGGAAGCAAGAGGCAGAGAGATGAAAACTATCTCGTAGTTCTACGTTTCATGGAAAATAGGTGATACAAGAAGACGAGGAGATTGTGCATTTCTTGAAATAGTGCATTTCTTACATAAAATCAGTGGAACCTTTGCCTAAATAAAATTTAGAAGCTCAACAAATATCAGTAAGCACCTTATCCACAGCCAGGGTAAAGACTTCAAGGTCGCCAGTTTCTGTGATGTGAAAGCGAGTAAATGCCTTGTAATTAGCAATCCGGAGAGAGGAAAATGCTTCGTCAAAATGTACGTGGAACCAGTTAATGCAGATGTATAGATAACTTCCAAATACTAGGGATACTATAGGAGTTGAGAAGACCCAGAAGTACAGGAAAACAGAAGCATAATAGATTATGGCATCACCGCGAGACAATGATTCCATCCCTTGCTTGCAAATGTTAGTTCTTGTGACAGCCATGACCTGTAAAGGAATAAATTAATCAACGTTATTTTTGTTGATATAATGCAAAAATAGAAATATAAAAAGGGAGACTGCTCATTGAATGAAGAGAAGTGCACCTACCTCAGGGACATCAAAAGAAGACATTAGATACTTTACACAAGCAGGATAGAGTCCAAATGACCATTGTTCCATGCGAGCACGAAGTCCAGATGGATCTGGAAAGTGCTCACTCTCCATGGACCGATACCATTCATAGAGAGTGTGATAACCTGAAATCATTTGCACTTCACAGTTAAGATTTCCATGACTGAACATTACAGTTACAAATGATGATTTTGTAACAGATCTTTAATTTTGAGAAAGCATTGAAATATATGGCAACTATAAACGTGCATCATATACAGACTGACTCATGTCATGATGATTCACCTTTACAGAACATACATTTAAGTTTCTTGCAAAGAATCTCATTATTGATCTTTTTTTTAATCAGTTATGCATCATATACAGATTGACTCATGTCATGATGATTCACCTTTACAGAACATACATTTAAGTTTCTTGCAAAGAATCTTATTATTGTTTTTTTATCAGTTATGCCTATTCGAGTTTCTATAATGTTTCAGCTAAACTTATAATCTCTAGACATTAATGTCATTATTACTTGTACTATCATTAGAGAACAGGCTTCATTTTTGGAATCAAGCTGTAACCTAGCACAAGTGGACTTCTCTCAGCCTGTACGTACTAAAAGATCAAAAGGACTGCCAAATTGTTGATGTGCTAGGTTATTCGTTTTCAGTCAAGAAATAACATGAGCCATTCTATCAAAGGAGATAAGTTCAGCACACATCAAGGGCATATGGGATTGCGTGCATGCCACAACCAGAGATATTCTCTTGGTTCATTATCAAATCCTAGGTCAGTCATCAGCGTGATGTTTTCTTTAGAGTGTGGACATAATTAATAGCAATCTGTTATTAGATTAAATGTAAATTTAGGTAGGAATCTGCCAGCTTTATGTTTAAGTCAGTGAATCACCATATCAAATTCAGGTGGTTACCAGTCCTTATCTACTGATATACAACTATAGCTGAAACATCTGAATTGGTTACTAGGATATCGAACTTGCTGTACTAGAATCACGGTGTTGACTTGATACGTTCCCCAGAATTTACGTTGAAGAACATAACTCCCAGTGCAAGAGTATACAAACATCGAAGACGTCCAATTTCAAGATAAATTAGGAAGAAAAGAGATGAAAAAAAAGACCTGAAGTAGCGAGCAGTTGATTACGAATACATATCTCAATACCCAATTCCAAAAGGATTAGCAGAACTAGCGCTGCAGTTAGGTGTGCAGATACATGGATGACTCCAATTACAGCTCGCTTCTTCCGTGACAATTTTGAAGGAACAAAAGAAATTGTTGACAACATCAATGCTAGCATTCCAACTAGAGATACATATGAATGTTCCAACATGTACATAAATGCCCTCCACATGGTGCTAAGGAAACCCTTGAGGCGGCCTGGCCATGAAACTTCATGAAAGATATGAACAAGGTTACACTGCAAAATGCAAAATGATACAGCCAGTCCTCAATAAGGAAAAAGAAAGCATATGCTACAAAAATATTAATTACTCAGTGATGACATAAGAAACACTTCCGATTCAACAAAGTATTGAACCAGATTAGCACTTTTATCATGGTCACCAGATTGTAACTTGAAAAATAATGAGGATGTGAACTTGAATCTTAAGATGACACATTCTCACGTGTTTATTTAAACTAAGAACTCACAGCATTTATTATCACTTTGATTTATAGCTAAAGTAATAGCACAACCGAACTGTTTTTAAGACCACAAATGTAAATCCACGAGCATCTATAGACGCTATTTCTTGTCCGGTATGCTCGTCAAGACATATACATGATAAACAGTTATAATCACTTTATACAATCCACGTCATTAAATCTTATAATTTCCTTCCAGTATAATCTTTTTATGATGAACTTTGTAGTTTAAACATTAACCATGGTTGTTCACTGTTTATAAACTAAATATGGCTATAGGCTCAGTTACACGATAGGAATTCAGGTCCAAATTAACAAGTTTCACATATGACATCAAGTTAAAACTCCAACTCAACATGTATGGCATAACTAGAATTACTCAAAATTTCAAACGAAATGCTGTTCTATTTTACACTTCCAGTCAATATCAATAGAACATTATCCTTATGTATCATACAGTTTTCATTATGGATATAATTTCATAAAAGACAGGCTCAGATAACTGACAAGCATGCATAAGGTTGTGTGATTATATGATTCTTATACATATCCAGGTATTGAATGTTAGGCATGGATATGCCCACGTCAGAATTCACCATGCATCACATGGGCATCACATTTATAATGGAGACAATTAGTTCATGAAACAGTTCCCACTCTTCAGTACATTTAAGTTGCAATCCTAAAGAGATTAAATTCTTGAACTTAAGAATTTTAATCTTAAGAATTAAGGCAATTTAATATGTCAATAGTTTGGTTTAAATAATGCCCATCTGCTTGTTATCATCATTCTATATGCATGTTAAACGTGACTTGTGTAGAAGTGAAACTATAAAAATAACTAGCATTTACCTAACCCACTAACCATCATCTGGTCCCTTTTATTGTATAAAGACATAAATTGAGAAGCAAATTCACAAGAATTGTGATATAAGCACTGCATCGCCTAAGTTGCATGGCAACGGGTACGGGTACAGGCGCTGTACGGGGACACGGCTACATATATATCGAAGTTGATAATTTACATGAGATCATTATTTTGTTTCAATTCATATACTTAAGTTTATTTTACTATGTTGATTATTTTAAATTGGAAAAATGCCCATTTCTTAACTAGACATTCAGACCATCCTTTTAAATCATAGTTTTTAACTTGCATATGGGCTGAAACAAACCCGACCCACGTCTAACAAGTTTCAAGAAATGGACATGAAGTGTAGGATATACATCCAAGAAGCACATGATAAGTATCTTATATTAAAACATATATCAAATAATTAAGTACATGTCCGAATAAATGTATGCATCTACTCAAGGAGTGTCCATGAAGTTTGGGTACAGGTAAGTGTTGGGTACGGGCTATGTTACCTGGGTACTTCTATAATGAAGCCGTACCCATACCGGACACGTACCCGACACTTTCCCGTACCCAAACTTTATGGACACTTCTTGAATATATGCATACATTACCGGACACGTACCCGACACTTTCCCGTACCCAAACTTTATGGACACTTCTTGAATATATGCATACATTTATTACAACATGTACTCAATTATACGATATATGGGTTAATTTAAAACACTTGTCAAAGACTTCCTGGACGTAGAACTTACACTTCACATCCGTCTTTTGAAACTAATGAGATACGGGTCGGATTCGTTTCAGTCCATACACAAGTTTAAAACTATATAGTTAATGGGTCGTTTAAATATCTAGTAAAAAAATGAGTAGTTTACAATTCACGATCATCAATATGATAAAAGAAACTCAAAAATGTAATCGGAATTTTAATTCTAATGACACATGAAGGGGAAAAAAATTATCTTATGTACAATAATAATTCAATATATATATGTAGTTGTGTCCACGTACCCTACATTTTACAGTTTTGCCGTGTCCCGTACCCGCACCCATACCAGTACCCGTGCCCGTTTCCATGCAACTTAGGGTACGGGTATGGCTTCAGGTTAGAAGTACCCGGGTAACGTAGTTCATCACTAGCTAAACTAAATATTATATATGGGATGATGCTAGCACAAAAATCAGGGCATGTGTAGGCATGCAACATGAGAGGCCAAAAATAGAACTCCACATTCAGTGAAATATACTTAGAATAACGATGATATTTTTGGCATGGTTTACATGGAAAGATTCATCATATCATCAGAAAAAAATGCATTATAATGCAAATCCACCTGCCTAATAGCTTGCACCAAAGCTGAATACGTTATATAATATTATTACCTGCGGGAACATAGAAAAAACTAATACAAAGTAGATAATGCCACCAATAATATCAAACTGCCAGTTCTTCTTGCGAAACTTTAAGATGTTTCCCAATGCAATCTGCAACACGTTTGTTGAAAAAAATCACATACTGCAAAACTTAATATTGAGCCAGCAGTTCAAAAATCAAAGTGACTGTTAAAATAGAGACCATATCAAAATAGAGGGGAAAATGGTACCAACTTACCCTGCTAGAATCCTCGTAAGATGGATAAGTAGCCTTGCTCTCATATGAAGAACCTTGGAATTTGTTAAAATTTTTAAACACATGTGTAGGGTGTAAAAAGGCTCCCCCACACCCGTTGACAAGTAAATGTTGCACATAAATAGGCTTGTCTGATGGAACAGCAGAATGACGCATATAATGGTGCAAATCACCAGCCATTCGCAGCTTACATCTTCCTTTAAGATAGTCACATATTAAATGAGAGACATTTTTCCCTGTAGTCTCGTTCCAGTACCAATCCAGAATCCAATTTGGTTCATGGGTCATAACAATTACAGTGTCATTTTCTCCAATCTGCACAATAGTTAAGTTTTTATGATTCAATGTACTATCAAGTTTCAATTGAAAGCTGGAGGGAATTTCTTACCGCTATATGCATGGCATCCCAAAGGAGTCTAGTGGTTAATGATGTAAACAAAGAGGGGCACCTCATAGGAGCAGGTCCAGGTTATGAAGAATATTTTAGTATACGTGTACTCATAGGCATTTGAATGGCCGAACAGATGATACAAGTGTATTGTTGTATTGGGCTCTTTGAAGGTTCCGGTATCATGCGCAACAGACACTCAACACCATATCATTATAACATTATTGCAAGGTTCTCCTAGCTTAGATAAGTTGTGCCTCAGAAACATATAGCTTATCTGAGAAATTATAAAAAAGCTTGACTCTAACTACAAATCACCAAAAAATAATGTTTCAAATATGGAGTAGCTTAGATAATCAAAACAAACCATGGTTAAAGGACAAGGCAAATATCTCTTATCGTTTGAATGCTAGTAGACAGTAATGATCCCTAATGTTAATGGTTAGTTGGTGACACATGAATCAAAATAATACAGAGCTATATACACACCACCTGCAACATTGGTATAAGCAAACACACCTTATTTTGGCATAGTTCAGCAAAAAACTTGAATTGGTATACATCAATGTCACCATGAAGAGCAAGATCCAGCCCAAATAGCCACCACCCTTTTGGGAGTTGCAGTGCAAAGTAACTTTTTTTCTGAGGCATAAACCAACCACCTAGCCAGCTCTTATGGCATATGTATCTCATAAATGTATGAAGCCCGTCAAACCAGTCTGCAAAATTAAAACCAACTTAGAGTGACCTCGTCAAAGAATCTGACTCTTCAGTGACCGATATTCAACCTAGAAATTAATTTCAGAACAAAAACATGCAGCAAAGTGAAAATGGCACCATCCTATTTTCATCAGTTAATAAGACAAGGTAAGAGCAAGAACCAACCATGGTTGCCAGGAATAGTAAAACACTGAGGTCCGTCATACTGATCTAGCTCTGAGCACCCATGAGGAGGCTCCGGCTTGTGCAGTGAAATATGTTCAGGTTTATACCAGGGTGGAGGCTGAAGAGCATCCTCAAAAGGACAAAAAAAGCGTTTCTCATATGTGAATGCAGAGGGATTAGGATACCTGTGCGAAGAATATACCAAGTGATAAGCAAAAACAGATATGTTTGACAACAAACAATTGTTTATTTTATATTTTTTGAAGCTGTTGTCTCAAATGAACAAAGAAATTGCCAGCAACAATGTTGTCCAAGTTCCTCTACGGAGGGCATAGTTGCATTATGTTGTTATAAATAAGTAGGGAATTATAATGGGGAAGGTAGTAGCTACAGAGCAAGCTTGCACAGTTAATGATGATCTAAATGAGGTTGATTTCTGAATTATGATGATCATAAGGAGAAGATAGTAGGTTCAGTACAAGCTTGTAGAGTTGATGGAACAACGTAAAATTACATCCCAGTTGGGTGTGCTTAGACTGAACCTACTACATCAGCAAAAAAAGTATGAATGGTCCCTTTTCTTTCCTAGGTTTTCTAGCATTCAAAAAGTTTATATAAGGTAACAACTACTAAATGTTCTTGTGCTAGGGAAAGCAGCCTACCCGTAGTTCCAAATGATGCAATGTAGAAGTTGGAATGGTATTGTAGAAAGAGAAAAATAGAGAGTAAACCCTAGAATACTTATTTATTGAGATAATAAGAGAGAGATATATAGTCATACAAATAGGGTTAATGTTAACAGGTAACAGCCCATTAACCCAATACCCAATACTTAATTTAACACTCCCACTCAAGCTGGAGCATAGATATTTACCATGCCCAGCTTGTCACATATAGTATAGAACACTTTTGAAGAAGTAGCATTCGTAAGAATATCAGCAAGTTGCTGTGAGGATGGAGTGAATATGAGAGATACTATCTTCTTCTCCCAAGCATCTCTGACAAAATTACAGTTAACTTCAATATGTTTTGTCCTCTCATGAAACACAGGATTCTATGTAATATAAATGACAGACTGGTTGTCACAATGCATTGGCATGGGTCCAGGCTGAACAAAACCAAGCTCTGTCATAAACTTTCGTAGCCACACCATCTCACAAGCAGTGTGAGTTATTGCTCTATATTCAGCCTCTGCACTAGATCGTGATACTACATCTTATTTCTTGCTTCTCCAAGTCATAAGATTACCTCCAACAAAAGTACAGAATCTTGAGGTCGACTTTCGGTCTCCCATGTCTCCTGCGTAGCCAGCATCAGAGAAAAACGAAATGTGAGTATGTCCATGCTTCTTATATAGCAATCCATTGCCAGGACAACTCTTGACATATGCCAAAATCTTCAGAGCTACTGTCCAATGAACCTCTCTAGGTTTGTGCATAAACCTGCTCAGTACACCTATTGCAAAGGTAATATCAGGTCTGGTAACTGCCAAATATATTAGCTTCCCAATCAGTCTCCTATATCGTCCAGCATCATCTAGTAGAGAGGTATCATCACGCCACAAATCAACATTTGCCTCCATTGGAATGCTTGCAAGTTTGCATTCCAAGAGACATGCTTCTTCTAGTAAATCTAGCACATATTTTCTTTGGGACAACAACAGGTCATGTTTTTGATATGTAACTTCAATCCCAAGAAAATACTTTCGTTTTCCCATGTCCTTAGTGACAAAATGACGGTTTAGATACTCCTTAGTCTCAGTTAAGGCAACAGAGTTGTTAGAATTGGGGGTGGATTCAAACCTCCGACGGGGGAGGAGCTCCGACGAGCTTCGACGAAGCTCGAAGCCCAGGCGATGTTGTCAACGACCAGACGCAGGCGACAGAACGAAGCTCGAAGCTCGAGCTCTGCGTTCGAACCCCCCTCAACTCTGCGTTCGTCGACCTCGGCGTTTTTTGAGCGACCTCTGCATTCGTGCGAAGCTGGCGTCGAAGCAACTCTGCGTTCGCCTCGAAGTTGGCGTCGAAGCGGTCGCTGGCGACAGGCTGTCGCCAGCCCATCCTCCCCCCCCCCCTCTCCAGCCTAGGGTTTTTGCGGCCGAGCCTTCCTCCTCTCTCCGTTTTTCTTCCCAGGCGGCGGCGAAAACCCCCCCCAAATCGCAGCTGCGATTTTGTGTTTAAATCCCAACACTCAACAGTGGTTGAGGGGATTAAAGAAGAGAGAGAAATAGAGATTTAAAGAGGGGTTTTAATTGTGGGGTATTTATTCTCAAGTGAGAATTGAAAGGGTTCATACCCTTTGATTATTAACACTGTAGCTACAGTGTTTATTTGAGAAATCTCAGTTTTGAGATCCGCTCCTAAATTGTAATTTCTTGTTTGATTAATAAGAAATTATCTATGTGGCTCCCGAGGACGTAGGTAATTGCCGAACCTCGTTAAATCTTGGTGTATTTTTTCTATACTGCGTTTCTGTTGCATTAGGGGTTTCAGCGTTAAATTCCCAACAACTGGTATCAGAGAGTGAAACGATCTAGAACAAGTCAGATTCAAGTGAGAGCCATGGCCACAGATGAGGCAAAAATGAGACTTGAGAAATTTGATGGAACAGATTTCGGATTCTGGAAAATGCAGATAGAGGATTATCTGTATCAGAAAAATCTGTATCAACCACTATCGGGGAAGAAGCCAGATTCTATGAAGGAAGAAGAGTGGAACCTTCTAGATAGACAAGCCCTCGGAGTTATCAGATTGACGTTGACTCGCAATGTTGCGTTCAACATAGCGAAGGAGAAGACCACGGCAGGTCTTATGGCAGCACTCTCAAACATGTATGAGAAGCCATCAGCCGCGAACAAAGTTCATTTGATGCGGCGGTTATTCAATCTGAAAATGGCGGAAGGCGCGTCAGTAGCACAACACCTCAATGAACTTAATACGGTTACAACCCAATTGAGTTCAGTTGAGATTGAGTTTGATGAAGAAGTTCGGGCGTTGATATTGTTGTCTTCCCTACCAGAGAGTTGGAACGCTACAGTCACAGCTGTGAGTAGCTCGTCGGGAAACAGTAAGTTGAAGTTCGACGACGTTCGTGATTTGGTTCTCAGTGAGGAGATCCGACGGCGAGAGACTGGTGAAGCTACAACCTCTTCAGTATTGCATACAGAGTCAAGAGGTAGAAATTCAACCAGAGGAAACGGACGAGGAAAATCAAACTTCAGAGGTAGATCAAAGGACAGGAGGTCCAAATCAAGGAATCCAAGCAACAGCTCGAAGGCTATCGAGTGTTGGAATTGTGGAAAGACCGGGCATTACAAGAATCAGTGCAAGAGTGCACAGAAGGAGAAGGAGGCGAAGGCAGAGGTGAATGTCACCTCCACTTCAGGAGGAGACGACGCATTGATATGCTCTTTGGAGAGCAAGGAGGAATCTTGGGTGTTAGATTCAGGAGCGTCGTTCCATGCTACCTCTCAGAAAGAATTCTTCGAGAAGTATACCCCCGGAAATCTTGGATACGTATATCTTGGTGATGATCAACCATGTGCTATTGTGGGCAAAGGCGTGGTGAAAATTAAGTTGAACGGGTCAGTATGGGAGCTGAAGGATGTCAGGCATATTCCCGACCTGAGAAAGAATTTAATATCCGTAGGCCAGTTGGCTGGCGAAGGATATACCACGACCTTCCATGGAGATGATTGGAAGATCTCAAAGGGCGCAATGACAATTGCCCGAGGCAGAAAGACTGGTACCCTATATATGACAGCAGGTGCACGTTGTTTGATCTCAGTTGCAGCAGGCAATGAGACTTCAAAGCTGTGGCACAAGAGACTCGGTCATATGAGTGAAAAGGGGATGAAAATCATGCATACAAAGGAAAAACTCCCAGGACTGCAGTCAGTGGAGATGGATATGTGTGAAGAATGTATACTTGGAAAGCAGAAGAGAGTCAGCTTTCAGACAAGTGGCAGAACCCCCAGGAAGCAGAAGCTAGAGCTCGTTCACTCAGATGTTTGGGGACCAACAACCACCGCGTCCATTGGTGGAAAACACTACTTCGTGACTTTCATCGACGATCACTCTCGAAAAGTGTGGGTCTACTTTCTGAAGCATAAGTCAGAAGTATTTGAGGCTTTCAGGAGATGGAAAGCTATGGTCGAGAATGAGACCGGTCTGAGAATAAAGAAGCTCAGGACCGACAATAGCGGTGAGTATGAAGACACCGGATTCAAGAAGTTCTGCTATGAGCACGGGATCAGAATGGAGAGAACCGTGCCCGGCACGCCTCAGCAAAATGGTGTAGCTGAGCGGATGAACCGAACATTGACAGAGAGAGCCAGAAGCATTCGGGTACAGTCAGGCCTACCGAAGCAGTTCTGGGCAGAAGCGGTCAACACAGCAGCTTACTTGATCAACCGAGGTCCATCGGTTCCATTGGAGCACAGAATACCAGAGGAGGTATGGTACGGAAAGGAGGTAAAACTCTCACATCTTAAAGTTTTCGGTTGTGTAGCTTACGTGCATATTAGTGATCAAGGCAGGAATAAGCTTGATCCTAAGTCAAAGAAATGCACTTTCATCGGCTATGGTGAAGATGAGTTCGGCTACCGCATTTGGGACAACGAAAACAAGAAAGTGATCAGGAGCAGAGATGTGATATTCAACGAGAAGGTGATGTACAAGGACATGCACAAGACAGATGACTCAGAGAGCGAGTCAATATTTGTAGATGCAGATGATGTCCCGAGTAACCTCTCGGAAGAACCCAATGCAGAGGGTCCTCAGCAAGAAGAGCCTGTTGGACAAGATGGTGCGCAGGAGCCCGACGCACCAGCTCCGATATTAAGAAGATCTTCTCGTCCTCCTGTACCCAACAGGAGATACATGAACTATCTGTTGTTGACAGATGGTGGGGAGCCTGAAAGCTTTGATGAAGCTTGTCAGTGTGGAGATGCGAGCAAGTGGGAGCTTGCCATGAAAGATGAGATGAAGTCTCTCATATCAAACCAGACGTGGGAACTAGCTGAGTTGCCCACGGGTAAGAAGGCACTCCACAACAAATGGGTGTACCGGGTGAAAGAGGAGCAAGATGGTTCCAGAAGATATAAGGCCCGGCTAGTTGTCAAAGGTTTCCAGCAGAAGGAAGGAATTGACTACACCGATATTTTCGCTCCCGTGGTGAAGCTAAA